GCCACCACCCACGCAGAGCCCGGAGCGACTCTTTGCGCCTTGCAAAGGTTTCTGGTGCATTGATAGAAACAACTTGACTTTCAGAGGTGCCAAGTATTCAACTTGAGTATTTGCGATGGTAGATGGAGTGCACAGTGCCAAAATAGGTCTGTTTATTTCTCCTAAGTACTTTTGATCAGAGCGAAGTTTTGTGTGCGTGTGTGTGTGTGGTGGGGAGTTGTCTCAAGTGGATTGTATAACTAGGTGGATGTTGCCAATGGTACCAGCCAGTGTTATGGTAACTGAGCATCCCGAAGGCAAAGGGAGAAACGCAAAGGAAAACACGTGCAGTTTTACTGTGTAGGGATTTTTTTTTTTTTAACCACCTTGTACTTTCCTCCCAGCGGGACCTTAAGGCAATCGTTGGCTATTCTTTGCAGTTTATAAGAGGTAGCTGGAGAGCATCACCTTCCCGTTTTACAGAGGTAAAAACGGAGGAGGCCAGTGAGCTAAGAGTTTGCCTCGCCTTAAAGGAATATGGCAAGAGTTTTAAGCAGTTTCTTGGACTTCCTACCCCTAAGCAGCCACTTGGAAGTACAGTGTAATGGAATATCCTCCCTGAGGTTGTATAGTTCAATTAAGACAGAGACCAGGGCCATCAGTCAGCAGCTCCTTGCCTGCCGCTCAGCTGGGCCGCAAAGTTAAGTGGCACTGAAAGAGTCGCAACTTCTCTGCTAGCTTTCTGCTCTTTAAAACGAGAACAAAGGTGCTGTATTCTTCTCGAAGCTGTGCTCTGGAAGCTCCAGTCGAGCTGCAGTGTGGTGATTGTTACTTGTGGTCTCACAAAGGCCCTCCCGGTCTCGGTTCCCTTGAGATACGCAGGGAATGAGGCGCCCCCAGAATGAATAACCAGCCGCCTCTCCTCCAGCAGAGACACTGAGAATTCCTCCGAGGCCGTGTGAGGATTGAGAACTCCCAGGAGGAGGGAGGAAGGAGCCTTGCACGGGCGGCTTTGACACATGGGCCCGTTCCTGCCTCCAGCTCTGACTCACCTTCTGACGCTTGGGGGAGGAGAGAGAGCTGCTTGGTATTTTTGGCTTTCCCCATAAAACGGGAGACAGTTTCCTTCATCCCGAGTCTTCCTAACGTCAAGTGTTGAACGTGTGTATGCTGTGTTCTCATTCGAAACCTTTCATACTGTTTGACTGCAGGTATGAATTCTGTGATATTCTTTAATAGAATGACATAAGTATATATTCATGGAAAAATTAGGCATGTAGATCCTTTAAGGGTTTAGCATAAAAACTAGCATTTGAAAAAAATGGGTTTCAGGGAGGGAACTGTTCGACGGATTCCTTTGCAGTTGGTATTTTGCTTTAAGGCAGACTGGATTAAAAAAGGTGTTTTCCCAGTATTACAAGGAATACTTCAGTCATTCTCTATGTAAAAAAATTAAAACGTTTCAAGTGAGGGTTAACGGCTTCTTTTGAACGTCTTTTTCAGAGGTATCTCTTATTAGTTTGTGTATCTTTTTAGACTTTTCTCAGCGTTTTTAAATCTATTTGCATAGTGTTTTTTTTAAAAAACTGAAATGAATTATTTTGTGACTGGCCTTGTTTATAGAGCTTTGATTTTTGTCCAAAACAGGTGGCATGTTTCTTAAGTACAGCCGGTTGTAAAGTTTTATTAACCCTGCTGCCATGGTGGTATTTCTCTGGGCAACAGGCAAATGCCCCCTTCATAAACAATCTGAAAGTAACTGAATCAGTTTTTTTTTTTTTTTCTGGTACTGGGAATTGAAAATCAGTTTTGATCCTAGGTCTTACTCTCAGGTACAAATGAAAAGTTTTCTATTAAAAAATCTAGGACAAGTGTATTATTCATCTTTGCTTATAAGGAGGCATAAAAGGGAGTGGAAGGCAGGCAGGGTTGCTAAAGCAACAACAGTCAGGTATAAACTTACAGAGCTAACATTTAAGGTAGTAGCTTTATTATTTACTAAAGCTGAACAGGGGTGAAGGCAAAGAAAGGAAAGGAAAGTGTTCATGGGGGTACAGTTTAAATCAGTAATCTTAGGAAATGGATGACTTAAAGAAAATTCACACCACCAGTTTTGGATTTATGTGGTGAGCATTTATGAGGGTTTAATCATGCTACCGGTACTGTGTCAAATACTGAGTTAGAAGGCAAATAAATGAGGCTGGAAGGAATATAGTGTCATACTAGGGACATTCAAAGAGGAAATACTGTATTCTTTGTTAGATCAGCTGTAATTGTTGTAGTGATTCTGAATTCTTAGAAATCAACATAGTAGCCCAGGATTTAGTTCAGTGGTGTTGCTGCCGGCCTCGCAAGTGCAAGGTCCTGGGTTGGATCCTGGGTTGGACCAAAAAAAAAAAAAAAAAGAAAGAAATCAACGTAATATTTAACTTTTTAAAAAATGTGAATGATAACATGAAGGTATAAAACAAATGGATAACTTGATTAAATTATTTAAAAGAACATGAGGGCTGGGGATTTAGCTCAGTGGTTCCACCTGCCTCGAAAGCACAAAGTCTGAGTTCCATCCCCGGTACTGAGGGGAAAAAAATTACAAATGTAACTAATCATTTAATAGGTCAAGAAGTGTCCCCCCCTACCCTTTCCCAAGGATAATAGGTAACCTAGCCAATGACTACCTTGACTTTTGTGGAAATAATTTATTTATTTATTTTCTATAGTTTTTACTCCCTGATTTTTTTTTTTTTTTTTTTTTTTTTTTTTTTTTTTTTTATTTTTTTCCCCCTGTTTTTTTTTTTTTTTTTTTTTTTTTGGTATGGGGGATTAAACTCAGGACCTTGTGCTTGTGAAGCAGGTGTTGGCACTACCGAGCTAAATTCCGGGCCCTACTTCCTAAATATTAATGTTTAAACAACATAGTTCTTTTTGCTTATTTTTCACCTCCATGCGATAAAATCAGGTAGGTATTGTTTGGGGTCATCTTTCTTTCAGTCAGTATCATGTATATTTGCAATACTCTGTGTGTGTGTAATTGTTTAAATTTCTGTAGCATACAGTTTTTAAAGACTCATCCATGTTGTTGCCTGTGACTAGAGTTGGTTCATTTTTGTGTGAACATACCACAAATTACCCATCTGTTGTTAGTGGACATCTGGGTTGTTCCTAGTCTGGAGCAATTATGAACAATCCTGAGTTGGGTGTGCCCATCTTCAGTCTTACTAGTTGATGCTTTTCTTCCCAAAGTGGCCACCAATTTACATTCTTTCAGTACTTCTGCCTTGAATTCATAACACTTGTGTCTGCAGTTAAACCACAGTATGCTTGGATATTTCTTAAATGAATTAGTAAGTGTCATGTAGTTGTCCTATCATGTACCTCTGTCCTGTCATGTACCAGTGTGTTTATATTTATTTATGTTTTATTAGATGGTTTGGACCAACATACCACCCAAATACCAGAAGTGGTTTTTCCACTGTATTTTGACATGCCCAATAGAACCCTTCCATTGATTAAAAACAAAAACAAAAACAGATGAATAGTTATAGGATATTTGAATATGCAATAATAGAAAATATCTAGTGCCTGGAAGACATTTAAGGTCCTAAGTGAGTCCTTCCTGTGGTGGGTGCTTGCTTTGTGCCCAGCCCTGTAGGTGGAAAGCAGTGAGTCTGTGATGTGTGGGAAATCAGGCCAGTCTTTGTTGAAGTTCCCCGAGGGTGAGACTCTCCTGTATGTGCATGATCCCCAAGAGAGCAGAACACAGATGCAGCCTCTCCCTGAATGACACTTCCAGAGGAACCACAGCTTTCATGCTGCGGAAACAGACACCACTTTTACAATCTTTACTATCTATATTTTTCTCTGCATCTTTCTTTGTATGTGAAGTAATTTAGAGCTGTGTTTGTTAGAGAATTCCTGCTTTTCTTTTTTCTCTCCCTTTCTTTTGTGTGTGAGTGTGTGTATGTGTGTTTGTGTCTCATTGGGAAAGACACTCAGGGCCTTGTGTGTGCTAGGCAAGGTCTCTGCCCCTGAGCGGTGGTCCCAACTAGAGAATCCCTGCTTTCTGAATACACAGTTGAGTTCTCGTGTTAGCTTTGATTGCCCGTTTGGTTTTGCTAGCTGGATCTGGGTAGAAGGGTGTGTGTGAGAGAAAAGATAGCGAGAAACAAGCAGGTCATCTCAGGACAGTTATTAAATTCAGGTGTTTGTTAATATGCACTTAGTACTGTATGTTAACAGTCCACCCTTATAGCAGAGTATTATATAATTCTGTAGATTTATAAGTACTCCGAGGGACATACCTTTTCTTAGTTGGAAGGATGGTAGAAGAACATTGGCCTAAAGCAGGTGGGATTTGCAGTTTCTTTTCATTTCTTCTATAAGATGTCTTGGGAAATGGCTACATTACTTTATTTTCAGTCTTTATTTGCACAAGACACAAATAACTTTTACTTGCTTATTACATATTTTTTCAGATTCTCTAATCATAATTTTATTTTTTAATCATAACTTTAAAAACTACCTGTGTGTAAAGTAGAAGTTTTCAAGAAAAGATATCCATCAGATTAGGATTGAAAAGTATTCTTGGAACCTTCTGATCTGAGTGGGACATCCTGTTGGAGTATTCCCGGGAGGGAGCACTGAAGTCTTGGCCAATGACCTTCGGGTGGGCTCTACCCAGCTCACCTTCTCATTTCAGTTCTTGTTCTTACCTTGCTGGAGAGCAGCCTCCATCTTGAAGTCTCAGTGGACAAAAGGGCTCTTTTGATATTCATGGGTAGCTGCTGAGCTGACTTGTACCTTTGTTTCCAGCAGTTCCAGCATTGATGACCTATCACAGTTTTTTTTTTTTTTTTTTTTTTTTTTTTTTTTGTATGGCAGAAGGTGGGAAGCCCCATCCTTCATCTGGAAGAGGGCCCCTAAGTTGAACCTGCTGGAAGTTTTAAGGATGCACAGGTGAAAATAAAATCAGAGACTGCTGTTGGCACACAAGTTACATGAAAACCTAGTCAGGGCTGAGGATGTAGCTCAGCTGTGCCATGCCTGCCTGGCAAGTGCAAAGTCCTGAGTTCAATTCCTGGTACCAAAACAGAAAAAAAAGTTTACTTCTAAGTGCTGACATTTGAATTTCATGTGATTTTTATGTGCCATCAAGCATTCTGTTCTTTTGATTTCTTTTCCAACCGTTTAAGACATGTCTTAATGATGTTTTAAAGCATGGGGCATACAAAACTAAGTGATGGTCTTATGGCCTTTGTTAGTTTATCCCTGATTTGAACAAGAACAGAGGGAGGTTCAGGGGCCACTGCATTTTCTTAAAGTGTGTAAATAATAATATAAGAGTGCTATCCTGTTTAGCATTAGCCTAAAGAGAACTATGTGTATTGTTTTGTTTTTTAAGATGATATCTCCAGGAGACAGGGCCAAGGGAATAATCAGGATCCTCTGCCTTTTGACTCCTGTTGAGCTGAAAATGTGCTTCCTCCCTTGGCTGTAGGGCAGCTTGAGGACACCTGCACTCAGAATGCTGTGGACTTGATGTCTGTTAGTGCGGGAGGCTGTGTAGTAGCTTCTCAGCTGGTACAGGAGACTTGACCACTTATCTCACTCTGCTCAGAAACTGTAGTGGCTTTGATGCCTTTGATTTGTAAAGAAAGATGGGAAATTATATTATGGATAGATACTTTAACATTGATGTTAATTTGGTACAAAGTCAGTCTCTCATGCACACACACATGCGCTCACACATGGGGAATTGGGCCAGGTAAAATAAAGAAGTCCTTGTAGGGACAGTGGTGGAGCTCATGGTGGGAATGTTACGGATTCGGATTTGGCCAATGCAGCATCAAAGGTCAAGGTGACCCAAGGATGATTATTAACTACTGAGGTATTTTCCTGTGTACCTAATTTATAAATTATTCTTTTGGTTTTCCGTTAAGTAATAACGGACAGTTAGGGTCTTGAACGCTTTCTTTTTTGGTACCTGGGATGGAACTCTGGATCTTGAGCTTGCAAGGCAGGCGGTGGTACCATTGAGCTAAATCCCTGCCTGGTCCTGAACTCTTACGAAAATACCTGCATTTTCTGGTGCTGCTTCTTCAGAGGGAATTAGTGACTTAAGCAATCGAATGGTTTTAGTGCTGACTTTAAAGTACTTTGCCTCTAAAGGATCTGACTTATATAAATCAAAGTTTACCAGTTAAGTATCTGCCATTCCCATTTTTTACCACTTCTGAAAGATTTTAAAGTATTACTTATGTAGGCTATTGCATAAATTGGTTTCCTGTTAACCCAAAGCAAGTATAATTGTGGTCATTTTCAAGATCTTGGTTCATTTTTATCAGATTTTTCAAACCCAAGGACCATCCCATAGCACTAGCAGTTTAGGATTTTGAGATTAGTATCTAGGTTATAGGTAAAGCATAAATAGATTGACCTTATGTTTCTTACTTTCTTTCTCTTTTTGTTCCTCCAATGAAATGTATGTTTTGGTAGTCTTCAGATTGGTTGTTCTGTTGTGGTCAGATTATATGGCTAATTAACAACAGATGGTTTGTGGAAGGAGGGTTCTGTTTGCAATGCAGTTACCAGTTTCCTGAGTAGAGTCTGGAAAAGCTTCTCACCCCCCATTTACTTCTGAGTCCTTGTCCTGGATGAAAGACAGCAGAATGATGGTGATCCGTGAGGAGGAGTTAAGGATGTTCATGTGGCGTAAGCAGCACAGGTGCTCAGGTTTGCTTCAGCAAGTTCAGTGCGGCAGAAGAGGCAGATTAATGAGTGGTACTTGTCACACATTAGTGTCTGCAAGTCACCTGGGATCTTGTTAAACTGTAGAATCTGATTCTGTAAGTCTTGAGATAGTTCTTGAAAGTCTGCATTTCTCTCAAGATGTCAGTGCTGTTGGGCCTTGGGTCATACTCTTTGAGTAGTGAGGGGCTAAAAAAGGACCTTAATTCTCCATTTGGAATCCGAAAATGAAGAGACCCTTAAAAGGCCAGAATGGCAGTATGTTTTAATGGATTGGAGAAAAGCATAGTAGTACAGTCTCTGAGACACCTCCTGCTCTGGTTAACTATGCTTTGAGTGGGTCCTCCAAACAAGGACGTGCTGGTGGCTTGGTCCTCAGTATGGCAGTATGAAAGTGGGGCCTAGTGAAAGATAATTAGGTCACTGGGGCATTGCTCTCAGAGGGGATTAAGGATTAATGTTGGTCTTGGAGTGAGATCTCATGAGAGCAGCTTGTTACGCAGTAGCAAGACTGACTTATCCTAGTCTCTGGCTTCCTGCCCCATCGTGACTGCTCCCTGTCATATGCATTCCCACTCCAGTGTCATCCACCATGTTATGATGTAGCCAGGAGGACCCACATCAGAGGCTGAACAGATGGAGTTGCCTGATGTTGAACTCTCAGCTTCCCAGTGTGTGAGCTGAATAAAGTTCTTTCTGTGAGAGGAATGTTGCTGGAAATGAACTCCAGTCCCTCTTCATGCAGTACCCAGCCTCAGGTGTTTAATAATAGCAGCAGAAAATGGACTAATATACCTTCCCAAGGAATAGTTAAGTTTTCTAACACTCTTGACTGATTTTCACTTTGCTTTGATCCTGTGTTTTCTCTTTGCTTTGCTATAACACTCACTGTTTGTGCTAATCATTTGATTCATGTAATGTTAGCCTGTCTCTTATTGTCACTCAGTTTTTGTATGTGTATCATGTATCATCTCCTTAAGGTGATAAAATTCTAGCATAGTTATGCTACCTTTCTGTCCTTGTTCTAGTTACTCTTGCTGCATAACAAAATTTCAAAACTCTGGTGTAAAATAACTATTTAAAATAGGCTCACAGATTCCTCTAGGTCAGGAATTTGGGCCTTATATAATGGGGACAGTTTGTCTATGCTTTACAGTGTCTAGATCCTTAGCTGGGAGATTCAGACTGGGGGTGATGTGGTGGCTGGAAGCTAGACTCATATTAAGGTGTTTTTACTCATATATCTACACACACACACACACACACACGCTAGAATCATATTAAGGTGTTTTTACTCATATATCTACACACACACACACACACATACACACACACACACCCGGCCTGTGCAGGTAGTAACTCTGTTAAGCTCATTTGGGCTTCATAGCTGAGTTCCAAGGGGGAAACCCAAGAGAATGAAATAGAAGCATGTGATGTTTATAATCTTACCTTGGAACATCATTTTTACTTAATTCTTTCGGTTGAGGTAGCCACAAAGATTTTACCAGTTTGAATGGGGAGCGGGCATCAGTCATATTTAGTCATGACTCTTTTTTTTTTTTTCCCCCAGTACTGGAGATCAAACTCAGGACCTTGTGCTTGCGAGGCAGGCATGGCACCACTGAGCTAAATCCTAGACCCTAGTGCTATTTTGGACAGGGGAGTATCGAGATTGCATTAGAAGAACTTCATTTGGCAGGGAGATATTGTTATGCCCATCTATAGCATAGTATCAAGCATGGCATGAACTCAGTAAACTGTTGTGTGACTGTGATATGAAATTTAAGCATTGAGTTGAGGCCAGATTGATTGATTGATTGATATCTAGCGGATGAACCCAGGTTCTTCACACTGAGCTACATGCCCAGCCTGATCTGTCCATCTGTCCATCAACCCATCCATCCATCCATCCATCCATCCATCCATCCATCCATCCATCCATCCATTTTTATTCTGAGGCAGGGTATCACTAAATAGCCTTGGCTGGGCTCAACTTGTGATCCTCCTGCCAGAGGGCTGGGGATTATAGGCAAGTGCCACCACACCTGGTGAATGAGGACCAAAATTAAAAATTCATTTCCATATGTGAACGGATTAGCCCACTGTACCAAATGAATCCTAGTTTCATCTTTTAGTTACAGACAGCATCGTCTCCCTTTTCTACTCATTCTGTCCCAGCATGGAAGATCTATTAATTTCTTATGTTAAACTAAACTTCTTTCTCTTTTGTTTCATTCATTTTGTTGTTTTGTTTTGATTTTGGGGACACATGGTCTTGGTCTCACTATATATTCCAGGCTGTCCCCAGACTCACTATGTAGCCCAGGCTAGCCTTGACTTCATGATTCTCCTGTCTCAGTGTCCCACATAGCTGGGATTGCCTCTGTGCCCATTGGAACTAGACTTCTTAAAATCTGCGTGACTCTGTCACTATCTTGGCATGTTTTTTCCTGCTCAAAGGTGGACAGCCTGTCTCTTCTTTTGGACTGTGGCATATTCTATATCAGCAGCTGCGTAGTCTTAAAATGATTGGCTCTTGGCAAGCTTGGCAAATGCTGTGTCTCTGTGGTCATTGAGATGGTCAACTTTGCTTGGTAGCTGTTGTCACACTGGGGGAGATATAGTGATTGAGTCTTTAGTTTTATATTTGTATTTGCCTTCATCCCACAATACTAGTATGTTATATAATTAATGTGGAGGGAGGGACAAAATGACCTCACCTCCAAATGTAAGATGTTGAGGTATTTTAGCCAAATTCCTACTTTTCTGGGTGACTGAGAATAATTTATAAATATATTTTTCTTTATTTACTCTACACCTGATCTTAGCCAAAAGGCCAAGAAGTGATTTCATTTTACTTCATTTTTTTTTTTTTAATTTTGGTACTGGGGATCGAACTCAAGTTCTTGAGCTTGCAGGGCAGGTGGCAGAACTACTGAGCTAAATTCCCAGCCCTCATTTTACTTTAATGTGAATACCACTTGGTATTTGAGGAGAGGTTTATTTTGACTTGTGTTAATTGAATTATATTCTTAATGTTCATGCTGTAGGGATGGCTAAACTTATTTTTCCTTAAAGAATGCCACATTGTGATTTTATTTTGTAAGAATGAATATTTTAATTTTCTCCGCAGTGGAACACATTTCTGATTTAATAATGAAAATGAATAAGAAAAGTAATATTTATTTGACAGTTTAGACTAAAATGCTTCCATTTTAAAAAGAGGGACATTAAAGTATTTTTTAAAAAGACTTCAGACATTTAGTGGAAGGAAAAAATGTGATTCTCTAAGCTTTTTGAGTATAAAAAAGTAACAGTATAGACATCTAGTATATACCATGACCCTCTGAGATTTCTAGCTAAGAATATTTTAGTCAGATCGTTGACAGTCATCTCTAGCACCATTGTGGCCATTTTCTGCTTGTTCAACTAGAGAAGAAAAAGCAGTAGATAATTCATTTTGTTTAACTGCTGATTTGAGTATGAATATGAATATGCTGTGCGTCCAGGTAGCGTTTTTCAGTCCTGTCACCACTGCTACAATCTTGGCTTCCGGTGCTAAACAGAGCTGGTACCTGCATGCCCGGAGCTTTCCAGGGCAGGGAGCAAGCTGTTGTTATTAGCTTGTCCACTATTGACATTTCAGGTCCACTGGACAGACACTAATTCTAGACTTTGTTTAGCGTTTGGTGCTTAGTGCTTACTGTTTAGAGACCAGCATCATTTCTGACATTTGTAGTTAGTTTATACAAAAACCCAAATGGATTCTTTTTGGGTCTTTGTGGTGACTGGTCTTTCATACCATTGGGTGACATGTGCCTCCCTGTAAACCTTGGTACGTGGGCACATTACCTATCTGATGTGTGTGTGGGGGAACCAACACAAACCCCCTAGCCTTCTGGGTTGATTTAGGACAGCTCGTCCTTTCTATATTTTATCCTACCTCACTCCCATTCCCTTGACCAGGAAAACATCTTTCTTTTCTTTATACAGAGTAGTGGGATTCATTGTGGTATTTTCGTACAACTTTTACCTTTCCCAGTTCACCTCCCCAGCTCCCTTCCTCTTATCTAATAGTTTCCCTTAGAAAAACGTGTTTCCCTCCAAGAAGTAAAGGCCGCTGCTGAGCAACTTGGGAAGGCTGAGTTGCACACCATGGACAGCGACAGGATTTCTGTAGTGTCCTCCATGCAGGCCTTGTCCTAGAGATCATTGTGCTGCAGGGGGACTGTCATGTTCACTCAGAGCATCATGCAATCTTTGATCCTTCAAATACGGGCCAGCCACTTCTAATAGGTCTTCCTTCTTTTTGTGTCTCTGGGTACACATTTACTAAGTTGATTTCCATGCACCTATGATGTAATACCCATGGGTTTATTCTGAATTCTTTACAGTCACATTCTGCTAAACTTAGAGCTGGACTAAACTGGAGCTGTGCCCACCAGGGACTGCTCTTTGCTGAGGCTTCTATACTGTGAGGCTGGCTTTCTGTGCACTGAAGGGTGTACAGGCTGTGGCACAGTTGCTCCCTGGCACTAGATGAAACTGCAGCAGTTGTCTTTCCTGTAAGTAGCATTTAAACCTGTTCTTCTTATGCAGATGCACCAACTCCTCTCCTGTGCTGCAAGCGCTGGATGGTGGTGTTAGACTGTGTAAGGCAGGTGACAAGGACACAGCTACAGCTCAGTCTCACAGAGATGCACGAAGTGCAGTCTAGAGCTAGAAGCCCGGACACCACAGAGCTTTTGTTTTTTTTTTTGGTCACTCCAAGTTGCAACCATGTCACCCTTTCTAAATTTGTATTTTCTACTCTGTAAAGGGGCTAGGAGGGTTTATCAGAGGAGCATCAGTACTATCCACCCTGTGAATGCACTTTGTGCAGTAGTTGTTTTTCTAAAACTTGGGACCAACTTTGGCATTTGAAGCAGGTCTGTTGGCAGGAGACTGACTAGCACCAGCAGGGATGAGCATCATGTCTGTCTCACTTGGATTCTTCCCTGAGGACTCACAATCTGTTTTCCCTGTGGCACAAGTACCCTGTCACTGTTCAGTGAGTGAAGGATAACAGAAGCAACCAGGCCTCCAGCCCTCCTAAGACACAGTTGAAGCCCCTGGTGAAGATTTCTGCTGAAAAGGCCAGTGAGCCTGGGCACCCAGATCAGGAGGGCAAGTGGCTCCCACACAGCAGGGTTATTTGGGAGGACCCAAGGCTGAGTCTCCTAATTAGATAACCTACTTGGAAATTTGATTAGCACCTTTCAGGTTTTCCACATTGAGGGTAGCATCCTCAGCAGTTCGAAGGCCTAATTTTGTGTGTATTTCCACAGTGACTTTGCTTTTTCTGGGATTCTTCCAGGGAAAGACTTGGAAGTGGCTGGAGATTGTGCTGTGCTGTGCTGTGGGAAATGTGTTCACCTTACACCTTCTGTCCTGTTCATGCATTATATCCAACAGAAGTTTCCATATGTGGCTCCTCACCATGAGAGCTCTGTACCCTGTGGTGTGACCTTGTCCTCAGTTTGGACCCACAAGAGGGGCATAAGCTTGGGTGAGGTGGTGCTGGGACTTAGCAGCTGTCAGGGACAGCACACTGAATGCCTCAGTCCCAAACCTGGGCGGGGCCCCCAGCATCCTGCTCTGAGGTGATTCTCAGATGAGTCCCAGAGCAGCTGCAGCAGCATCACCAGGAAGGTGCACTTGGTAGCCCCACTCCAGGGCTGCTCAGTCGGCAATGGGGCCCGGTAACCTGTGCCCTAACTGGCCCTCCATGGGAACCACTCCATTATGATGATAGAACTATGTTGTGAACAAATCTGAGGGGGAGAAGCAGTGTTGAAGATTGAACCCATGGCCTTGTGGATGGAAAGGCATGAGTTGTATTACTGAACTGAACTACACCCTCTGCCTGTAAAGATTTAAACTGTATTATTTTGGGCGGGGGGTTAAGATAGGGTTTCACCATGTAGCTAGCCCAGGCTTGCCCCCTGCCTCAGCCTCCGGAGTGGTGAAATTATTATAGGCACTGTTTATTATTTAGTTTTGTTTTCTGTGGTACTGGGCAGTGAACTTTTGCAAAGCAGGTGTGGTGCCACTGAGCTAAATTCCTGGCCCCCACTATTTATTCTTTTTTGAGGTGAGGTCTTGCTATGTTGCCCAGACTTGTCTGGAACCTTTGATCCTCATGCCTCAGTCTTCCAAGTAGCTGGGATTACAGGCACATGCCATCACATCCATCTCTAAACTTTCATTGTGTTTAATATTACACATCATCACATGATGTTTAATCAAAAGGGAAGCCATGTCTACACAAAGGCCTGGATATTTATTCATAATAGTCTTAAATGAGAAATAGTCCAGTGTCCATCAGTAGATGGATGGATAAATCATACATACTTAACAATGGAATACTACCCAGCATTAAAAAGGAATGAGCTACTGATATACCTAAGACTGGATGAATGGCAAACTACATTGAGAGAAAGGCAGACCAGAAATAAATATTGTAGAAGTGTTTATATAAAATCCAGAAAATGCAGATTAGCTGGGTGGGCATAGTGGTACATGCCAGGAATCCCAGCTGCTTGGGGGTTAGAGCAGAGCATTGCAAATTTGAGGCCAACCTGTGCAATTCAGTGAGATCCTGTCTTTAAGGTTTTTTTTTTTTTAAAGGGCTGGGATGTATCAGTGGTAGAACACTTGGCTAATGGTGAGACCTTGGGCTTTTATTTTTTTCCTTTTGAGGCAGCGTCACACTTTGTAGTTCATGGCAATCCTGCCTCACCCTCCCGAGTGCTAGGATTACAGGCATGTAATCCATGCCCAGCAGTTGGTACATTTTAGATGTAATAATTTATCATAGGGAATTTGTACCTGTACAAGATATATCTTGCTTTTTCCCCTATTGCCCTCTTTGACCTCTCTTCCCCTCCTTATTTACAAAAGATTTGTTTCCATTTTTTTTCCTTTTTATCTTGTCCCTTCCTTCCTTTCTCCACAGTCACCTTCCTTGTTCCCCCTCTCATTTTAACATTTTCTTCCCATTTTCCTGTTTATTATACATTTTGGTTATTATTTCAACTTTTTTGTTTCTCACACCAGAGAAATAATGTATTTAAACATGTGTGTCTGATTTATTTCACTTAAGAGTATGGAGACCCTGGGCTTGATCCTTAGTTTAAAAAAAAATGAAAATGCAAACTATAATGACAAGAAACAGATTAATAATTGCTTGAGAATGGGGCAGAGAGCAAGAAAGGGATGCATTATAAAGGAACGTGAGATTTGGGGGAGAGGTAAACATGTTTATTATATTGAGGTCATGGTATCTTAAAAAGTACGTATGTTAAAACTTGACAAGTTATACACCGAATCAAATTGTTTATCAATTTTTACATCATTTACATCTTAACAAAGCTTCCAAAAAATTAAGAGTTAGGGGCTAGGGATTCAACTCAGTGGAGCCTGCACCTGCCTTGCAAGCACGTCCTGAGTTCAGTCCCCAGTACTGAAAAAAATTAAGTGTGATGCTTACCTGGGAAAGGCGAAGGGCCAGGTGGGAGAAGCATTTCTGATGATGTTCACAGGTATTCATCACATTATTATTACTATTTTTTTTTTTTTTTTTTTTTTACGGGGATCGAACTCAGGTCCTTGCGCTTGCGAGGCAGGCCACCGAACTGCTGAGCTAAATCCCTGGCCCTTTATCACATTATTAAATGAGGAAGAGCAACATGAAATTTCAAGTTGTCCTTCCAAAGCCACCAGCAATGGCGGTTTCAGCCCTGCCGTGCACTAGGCTGCCTACGCCGCCGTATCCAGCCATCACTCTTGGCCATGCACATAGCACCAGAAACTTTCCTGAACACATTGTGCTCTTCTGAGTGTCACAGTCACATGCTTGCTCATCTGGCTCTCACTGCTGCTTGTATTTCTGGGTTGACTGAGGGTACCGGGAAGAGACTCTGGTGCAGTTTGTATCTCTCACAGGCCCCATGAGCATTCTGCAGTGCCTTGCATTTCATCAATGGGCTATGGTCTCTGACTTTCCCTTTCAAAAATTAGTCTTTTATTTGTGCAGAGTGAGTCATGGTCATTAACAGAAAACTCAGACTTAGGTTGATATTTCTTACTGATCCTTCTTTTAAGTGAATATCAGAAACATTTAGCTGGTCTACTCGTGGGTTTTTTCCTAACTGTATTTGGTAGTAATTTAGTAGTAAAGGGCCTTGTCTTTGCCTCCTTGTCTTCTTGCAGATCCGATTTGCATCCCCGGTAACCGGTATTGCCTATCTAGAACTTTCTGGATCCAGACCAAGGGCTTCAGTGTTCACCAGCCTCCTCAGCAAGTAAGTAGCTGCAGCATTGCCTCTGCACACGGTACCTAGGGATGTTCCTGATGGAAGTCATTTCAGGCTTCCCTGTGGTGCCCAGGTGCATGTAGTACATTTCCCAGCGGGCAGGGACTATGGAGCAGTGGTAGTGAACCTTTCAGAGCTTTCAGCGATACAGTCTGCTGCGGTACATGTGTCGTGGGTTCACTGCACTGCTATGAGCACTGATTTTGCAGTCAGAGAAACTGGTATGTTTGAAATTTCAGCAAACCAGTTGTTTCATTTTCTGTGGCTCCAAATGTAGATATTTATAGTAAACGCTGAACTAATGAGAAAATATGGACTTCAAATATTGAAGTAAATTAGTTTTAGTTCCAACATATACCTGAAGTCTGGGATTCATTTGGGAGCTTAGAATTGGCAGATTCAGGGTCAGGCCAGGTAAAATGCCCCTTTAACTTGTAGGAATGAACTTTTAAGACCATGACCTTCAAAGTACCTGAGATTATTCCTGCAGAAATGCCACAGTACATTCCTCAAATTTAATTGGCCTTTAAAAGTGTTCACACATTTTATATATAATACCTGAAGTCTGGGATTCATTTGGGAGCTTAGAATTGGCAGATTCAGGGTCAGGCCAGGTAAAATGCCCCTTTAACTTGTAGGAATGAACTTTTAAGACCATGACCTTCAAAGTACCTGAGATTATTCCTGCAGAAATGCCACAGTACATTCCTCAAATTTAATTGGCCTTTAAAAGTGTTCACACATTTTATATATATATATTTGGTAACTGGTCCAGTTCAGTTTCAGTCCATAAAGGCATTTCATTAATTTTTTGCCCAATGTGAGACCATTTTTACACATTTATAAGATCTCTGTCTGGAATCAGGAACACAAAAATCAAGCCATTGTACCTATGTAAGCAAGAAATGTATGGGGACATGACTAAGGGAGGAGTAAAATTTCTGATTTCTTCTTAATCTCCAAGGAATGCCACCTCTCCATCTTCAGTAAGAGAAAGACCCTACAGGATTGTCCCACAGGAACCAGTTGGACATGTTTCTGTCTTTAACTTTTCTAAAAATAGGATGACAATTTCCACTTGAGAAAAAAAAACAAAAAAAACAAAAAAACAAAGAACAAACAGAGCTGAGTTTTTACATTGGCTGTACATATTTGTGTCTTAGGCTTGTTTTTTTTTTTGGAGACAGTGTCAGTTCAGCCTGCCCTTGAACTCAGTACATAGCTGATGCTAACCTCAATCTCATGGAAATCTTACTGCCTTGACCTCCCGAGTGCTGGGATTATAGGCATGTGCCACCAGGCCCAGCAGTTAGGCCACTTTTCCTAACCATCAACAGAAAATGATTATTTCTGTATTCTTGAGAAAATATACCCTAATTAAAGAAAATAACTTTCTAATCCTTTCCCCTTCCCATTCTAGAAACACTGCAGAAGGCTGTGTGATAAATCAGTAGCATTTAAAGTACTAACAATTACCTGTGTTTTGCAGGAAGGAGACTGACTGACTGTGACTTTGGATTCCCTGGAGGACACAAAATTCTCTGGTTTTGCCCCTGATGATGCAAGTGTGATTCCTGGCATCTTCATGAGCTCCCGAGGTCACAGTACACTACCACGGACTCTAATGGCTCCTCGGATGATTTCCGAGGGAGACATAGGAGGCATTGCTCAAATCACCTCCTCTCTCTTCCTGGGCAGAGGCAGTGTGGCCTCCAACCGGCACCTCCTTCAGTCTCGTGGCATCACCTGCATCATTAATGCTACCATTGAGATCCCTAATTTCAACTGGCCCCAATTTGAGTATGTTAAAGTGCCTCTGGCTGACATCCCACATGCCCCCATTAGACTGTACTTTGACACCGTGGCTGACAAGATCCACAGTGTGAGCAGGAAGCATGGGGCTACCTTGGTGCACTGCGCTGCAGGGGTGAGCCGCTCAGCCACACTCTGCATTGCTTACCTGATGAAATTCCACAACGTGTGCCTGCTGGATGCGTACAACTGGGTGAAAGCCCGGAGGCCTGTCATCAGGCCCAATGTGGGCTTCTGGAGGCAGCTGATAGACTATGAGTGCCAGCTTTTTGGGAAGTCAACAGTTAAGATGGTACAGACACCTTATGGCATAGTTCCAGATGTTTATGAGAAAGAGTCCCGACACCTGATGCCTTACTGGGGGATTTAATGCCACCAAAGCCTGCATCAGCAGCCCCTTGAGCAGTACCAGCATCTGCTACACACCATCTGCTCCCCTCTTCCTCTTTCTTTTCAAATGGTTGACTTGGTTTTCCCTCACGTGTTTTTACACTTGGTATTCAAGTTTAAGAGATAGGGAGGGGATGCAAGGGAAATGCATACATTTGCTAATAACATTTTTTAAAAACTAGCATTTTGAAATAGGCTTTATGAAAATCTTTAACAGGCTTTTAATCATTTTTAACAATTTGACAGTTTAATAAACTGGTTCTGCTCTGAATCCCATGCCTTTTTGCACCATGGCAGGTGCAAGAGGAGTTCAGTCCAAAAAAAATTGCTGAGTCCTGATAACCCTTCAGAGACAAGCTTTTGCCTAAGGCTGCTAACCATACAGATGCTTAGGGAAGATCGATACCAGCTTCAGTCTCTACTGGATTAACCCTATTCTTTTGCCCTCTATTATTTAGTGACTGTAAGTTAAAATAAGTAACCTTTTATTATTTAGTTGATAAGTAATTATGGTGGAATTTACTGCAAAGACCTCCTTGAAATTAGTGTGCCCCAGGATATTAGCATTATTTTTAATAAATACATGTGCTTAACAGAACTTTTACTAATAATTTCAGGGTATGTGTGTGCATGTGTGTTGATGGGAGAAAGATGCATTCCAATAAATGCTAAACTATGGCTCTTGGAACAATTAGAACTACTTAAAATAGACACCCCAGCTGAACTGTGTTAATGTTTCTCATCCTTGCAGATGGGCAGACATTAATATTCACATGCTGGAAGACTGGGAAACAGTGTGTAAGCTTTGATAAAAGGTATTGTTTTCAGTTTTCTCCTGGTTAGGTGGTGTGCACTAAAGTACCAAGCCCTCCATCAAATTGTTTTTTTTTTTTTTTTTTTTTTTTTTGGTACCGGGGATCAAACTCAGGTCCTTGGGCTTGCAAGGCAGGCCACCGAACCACTGAGCTAAATCCCCGGCCCTTCAAATTGGTTTTTATCAAAAAGTGTGCCTCTGCTTGACTATTAACACACAAGAATGTTTGTTCTAAACTAAGTCTCGGTGTAAGTGATAAGCAAAGCAAATAGGGAAATGGGCCGAGTATGGTGGCGCATGGCTATATCCCAGCACTTAGGATACTGAGGCAGGAGGATTACCATGAGTTCAAGACCAGTTTGAACTACATAACAAGACTGTCTTAAAAAAAAGGTGATACAATGGCCTTCTGTTTAACTTTGGAATTGTCACCCAGTCTTCTATCCCTAAAAATACCTGACAGCACAGCCCATCAGTGAGGGGCAGGAGTTAATAGCCCTCCTGGGAAGCTACTGGGTGTTGACCAGGTTGCCCCTAATTTTAGACAGAACCACTGTCATTGTACTGCTCTATTTGACTTTATTTTCTTGGAGGGTTATAGCTTGCTTATCCATGGACTAATTTCCTAACTTATGGACTATTTTGGCAGGAAGCCATAAATATTGCCAGTAGTTACCTATTTAGACCATTTTTCTTTTTTCAGTAGTAGGGATTGAACCTAGGATCTGTGCATGCTAGACAAGTGCTCTACAACTAAGCTATGTTCCCATTCCCAATCCTTTTCATTTTATTTATTTTTATTTCATTTATTTATTTTGGTACCAGGGATTGAACTTGGGTCCTTGTGCTTGCAAGGCAGGCCACTGAACCACTGAGCTAAATCCCTGGCCCTATTTATTTTTATTTTTGAGGCAGGGTCTTGGTAAGATTCGCAGGCTGGCTTTGAACTTGCATTTGTATGTATGTATGTATGTATGTATGTATGTATTTATTTTTTGAGACAGGGTCTCAACTATGTAGTTCCGGCTGCCCTTGAACTCTTACTATGTATTCCAAGCCTCCTGCTTCAGATCTCCTCAGTGCTGGGATTACAGGGGAGCACCACCACATAAGATTTAGACAAATTTTATCTTCCAGTTTGACCTTGTTGTGGCAGTGGGTTTCCATCTAAATTCTACTTTTTGTTCTATAACATTTGCACACTCTTGTAAATATATAACATTATTGTCTAAGCAGGAAATTTAAACATTTCTTTGGGAAATAAGAGGAACACATAAAAGGAAATGCAACATTTTTAGCACACAATCCAAAAACAAAATAAGGGGCCGGGGATCTAGCTCAGCGGTTTAGTGGCCTGCCTTGCAAGTGCAAGGACCCAAGTTCAATCCCCGGTACCACAAAAAAAAAAAAAAGTCCAGGGAGACCATGGCTTTACCAAGAGGCCAGGATTTAGGTCTTATAGTCTCTGAACAGGAGCCCCAAAATAATCATTGTACTTACAGGGAGAAAACAATTGGTGGCAGATACTGCTGGTGGGAGTTAAGGAAAATGTCCTGTAGAAGTTCTGGCAAATACCACCACCAGGCTCTAATTAAGAGTGTTCTTGGGCTGGGGATTTAGTTCAGTGGAGCTGCGCTTGCCCCACAAGTGCAAGGTCCAGAGTTCAATACCCATATGGGGGTGGGGGGTGGGGAGCACCAGCAGAAAGAATGTTCTTACCTCTTGGGAAGCCTAACTTCTACGTGCTTTGGCCCTTGTTCATCCTTATGACCTGCATCTATGTGAGATCTTAACCCCTACAAAGAAAAGATTAGTAGCATAATTTCTGTTTCAGAAGTTTAACAAGTGATTACTTCAGAAAAAGCCCTGAGAGTACTTTAAAGGTCAAGCTTTACAATGTGTGAACATGTCAATTAGGGCAATTGTTTATTAAAATAGAAACAAAGGAAAAAAGCCACAGTACTTTTTAAAATACAGGACCAAATTTCACATCGCACACAACACATTTCACTGAGGGCCACAGTACTCACTAATACAGCCACAGCTATGAGATAATGAGGTGTCACATGACAATGCTTTAAACCCACTTACACTATGTTCACATCAGCACAGAAAGGGTGGAATTCAGTAAAAATTTTGTTATAATGACACTTTGTTATGGTAGAAAAATATTTGTAAAGTAGCAACAGTGTAGGCGAGAGCAGCTGAGTTGTGAAGTTTCAACTCCGAACTGTATCACTTACTGAGCTTTATTTCCTTAGCTTCATCTTGGGAGACATCTTTTTGATATTACTTTGTACACACTTTCGTAAAGAAATAGTATGTAACCTAAACATAAAAACACACAGGCTAAACGTATCTTGCCCTGCATTCTGACACTTGCTGGGATAGTCTACAGCACACTATCATGGCTTCTTCTGAATGGCAAATGTCTTTGAAAATGTCAGTCTCTTAGATGTTTGCAAAGGAAGGAGTCTGACCTATGTTCAGGGGAATTTTCATAGCAATCCCCAGTACAGAGCAAACATTTCAAATTTCTCTATCATACAGTTCCTATAACTTTCTCAAAATTTAAGAAAACATTTGTTTTTTTGAGACAGGATTTTGCTATGTAGTTCAGGCTGGCCTTGAACTTATTGTGTATCCTAAGCTGGCTTTAAACTCCCAGTGATCCTCCTGCTTCAGCCTGCCAAGTGCTGGGAATACAAGTGTGTGCCACCTTATCTGGCAAGAAACACACTAAATAGGAAAGTACAGGATATCTTTAAATAAGACCCTTCTCCCCCCAAATTCACAAACATCTGTTATATACATGTACACAATTTAAAATATGCAGTCTATGTGAAATATTAACTAATGGCCACAGAAAAAGCATGGATAATATCCTTGTCTACCTTGTAACTTTTCCATCTGAAGCATGTCCAGACAAAAATTAAATTACACACTAAACCACAGCTACTTAAAGGCAAAACAATACCGAAAAAGAAAAGTGCTTATTAATCACCATTCAAGCAGTGGGGTGAAGCTGCCCAACACAATACATAGACAGCATGGAAATAAGTAACCTTGGTTACTGATTCCAAGGACACTGGGCTTCTGGCTGAGGAGAAGGGCTGAGGTGAAGCTGAATGCAATGAGTCATTTTAATAAGTGCGTAGAAAGAAAATCAGCCCAATGGCATTCCATATTCCCCCAAGCCTTAATGGTGGTGTCTAAGCATTTCAAGTATTAAGCAGATATTAGAAGTAATGAGTACTTTTCATAGCAAAGGTTTTGTTTTGTTCTTTTGGTTTTTTTTAAAATTGTGTCCACTGAATTTTCCTCTGGTGCCTTCCAAAGAGTGACTAAACCTATCATGCTTGGTAAAGATAACTGTGATTATACTCAGGAATTTTCTCAGGCGTTCTAGAATACTTGTAGGAATGGAAGCCAATCCAGTAAAGAAGTACTTAAAGTGTTATTGATACAAGCCATTGGTGGCAAACATAGGACTCACATGCTGCAGCAGCCTGTCTGTTACCACTGAAAGTTCTAAAAGGTTCGCCATCATTGACAGAATAACAACCCATGTAGTATTTCCAAAAACGGTTTTCAGCAATACAAAGTTTATCAAATTGGGAAGTGTCTTGCTCCTCCTGGTTCTGTTACAGAGTTTACAAGACCACTCAGAAAGCTGCTTGTTACGCTGAAGCACTAGGGTTGTCCAGGATAAAGCAGAGCAGAGGCCTCAGGAACAGCCTGTGGGACACTGGCCCTGTGAATTGTTACTGACACCACCACTCCTGCAGAGAGAAACGGCTCCAGGAGGCAGTTGAGTCAGCTGTCTGGGTCAGTAAGAGCTGGAGACAGTGTCACGCGGTACAAATAAGAGCACTTATGTCGTCAGTGCTCTGTGTGTGCTGGGATACAGTAAGGTAAATCGGAAGCATAGCAATAGCTGTTTAAAGTGTTCTCAACTTTCTTACATCAGAGAAAGGTATAAGAACAACACAGAATTTCAAGTTTCGTTCTCAGAGGAGAAAATAATTATGTAAAAGCAGCACTTAGACAAAAATCAACCTTTTCAGTTTTCAAGTGATCCTGTCTATGTCAGAACCTGTCGTACAAAGTGAGTCATACAAGATTCAAATCTCTTCATAAAGAATATAACCAACAGTTCGGAGAAACATTTGCCCTAGATTGGTTTGTTCTTCCTAGGAAATAAAAGCCCTTAATCACATAGCTTTTGCTCTCCTAATTTTCCACATTCGGCTTAAATGTCAAAGGAAAAATTCCTACACCAGAGACCACGAGCCTTTTCCTTTTAAAATGTAATACTGGTGCCAAATGATTTCCTTCCATGCTTCCGTGGCATGTACTGCTACCTTATTCATATGTCCACTATTTTCATCACTGGGATGGGCTCACCTTTTCACCGTAAGTTCATTTTCTGGTCTCAGGCATACTGCAAGGTCAGGCAGTGCTGACTCCTATCTTTGGAAATGAAGATAAGCTGCTGCAAAGAGACTGCATTCCATGGTCTTTACAGATTTTTAATTAATCAATTAATTTCTTAGACAAGGTCTTGCTGCATAGCCCAGGCTGGCCTAGAACTCAGTGATCCTCCTGCCTCAGCCTCCCGAGTGCTGGGATTACAGGCGTGTGCCACCAAGCCCAACTACCTTTCCAGATCTTATCTGGAAAAATGCCCTGCTTTATACTAGGCTTTGTATGAAGCAAAACAGGTTTTCAGTGAGAGTTCTGAAGAAAGATATTCATCCCAATACATGGGCTTCAGGCCTCTGTCAAATGGATGTTCTCCACAGCAAAGGCCCAGGTATGTTTTGGGAAAAAGTCTTGAGAGTTGATAGTTCAGAAATAAAGGAAGAGGAGCAGAGAAGAGGTGCAGCTGTGAC